TTTTTTTTTTTTTTTTTTTTTTTTTGGTACCATTGCTGAGGAGCGACAGCTGCTGTTAGCAGCAGGCAGCAGCAGCTGAGGCTCCAATCTATCATTGCGGAGGAGCAACAGCTGAACAGCTGCTTTTCACATCAACTGGGTTCCCCTCCCAAGTCCAGGATCACACCACATCCGCTTCCATCAGGGAAAGCAAACAATTGCCTCTGTCAGCAGAGTAACAGAGTGCGTCTTCGCCTCTGCAGGTTTCGACGAAAAGCACTGCTTGACGAATAATGACTTCCTTGTTGTTCATAATAATTTTTGGTTTTTCTGTCCTCGGAGCTGTACGTAATCAAAATAACGAATTTCTCGATTCATTTCAAAAGGCAAGCAAACAACAACCTTGGGGGGGGGGGTAGGAGGCAGGGACTCTGCATGTGGAGGAATGTTTTTGTTGCTACAGCAAAAAAACAAGTGGAATTTCGAGCTGGATTTTGCGCAATCATACAAAAAGCACTGTTCATTTCAATTATCATACATGCACTGCACTGCACTGCGTTTATGAGCTCTCCTGGCATACTCACCTAAACCACGAACTCTCCTGGATGTATCTGCCCTCAGTTGCAATTATCAAGAGTCCAAACAAAAGCGCGCTAATGAGCGTCCTCACTCTGCCACTGCGTTTTGGCACTGTGCTGCAGTTGCTTCAACTGCACAACACCAAAGCAAAGCCAGTACCTAGGGAGCCTACAGCATTCATTCAGACGGACTTTACCTCATCCACACTTGTCTGCATTCGTTCAGTCGTTCAGCATGCTTTGCGTAAGAGCACGCGTGGATATAATGATATTATATTATACTCGCTCCCAGTCATCACTACTGCCTTCGTCTGAATAGAGGGCAGCAATGATCGCTGGCATTCTCTCCATGCCAACATTCAGGCCAGAGACACAAAAAGAAGGGGGGGGCAGATACCCACCCAGCCAGCGAATCGGACAGACTCAAAACGGAACCAGGCAGAGACTCAAACGGACGTATGGACCCAAGCAGCAGAGTTAAAAAATCTGAACTCTAAAGACTCGAAACATAATTATTCACAATGCACTGCTAAACCACCAGTACTTGGCCCATACATCGGCTGCGGAACATTGCCGTTAGAGCCCCGCAACTTCCGGAGGCTCAGGGTACCGGCCCTGAAAAGGTGGCGCCGCCAGCCAAAACAATTTTTTTCTCGTTGCTCTGGCGGGCCGGCACGAAACGGAGCGCAGCCCGTTTTCAGGCTCGATAGCTGGGCCAAGTACTGGTGGTTTAAGGATCAATCACACAATCATGGCAACAAGGCAAGCTGACAGTCAATCCTACCCCACACTGCTGGAGCAATCAATGCTGCTCAGGGGTCCTTCGGCCAGACGGAAGGAAGTGTGTGCGGAGGTTCTCATATTGCAATTTTGACTTGCTGGTGAAATAGGGGAACAGGACAGATGCTCCCCAGAATGGATATCGAGCCAGGGCCATAAGGACCAAATTTTATCACCCACAAAAAAAAAAAAAAAAAAAAAAAAATCACACAAGCATCATCATCAGCTCACGTACAGAAACTGGCAGCCTAACAGAAAAAGAAAAAAAAGAAACTGGCAGCCTTCTCCAAAGGACAAAAATAGCAAGAGATTCTTTTTTGAATTCTGACACAGCTCTGGGAGCGGCGCACAGTGGACCAGGCTGGCCACGGGGTCTGAAAAGGGTCCCCATGGCTAAAGGAGAAAAATCCACGGGGCCCTTTTCCAGCTGCTCAATTTGCCTACCTACCCCTGAGCTACCAATTGACCTAAGGGTCGGGGTCACCAGACTTTTATGGTCTGGTAGGTGGGGACCTTCCCCATGACCCCTGTGTCATCTGAGGGGCATAGTGTCAGCCCTTCTTTTCTTTTCTTTTTTGGTGATAAATTTTGGTCCTTATGGCCCTGGCTCTATCTATATCCGTTATGGGGAGCATCTGTCCTGTTCCCCTATTTCACCAGCGAGAAGACCCTCAGTCTTCCTTCCGTTTGCCCAAGGACACCTGATATCATTCTTCGTCACTCCAGATGCCTCGAGGATGATTGGACTATTATCAGCTTGCCTTCCCGCTGCTACCAGGGTTGACTGTGAGCTTGCCTTCCCTCTCTACCAACCTACCTTTCCTCTCAGGTTTGGTTTCCCCAAACCTGCCACACAGAAAGAAAAAAAAAAAACAGCAGAAGAAGGAAAACCTGCCAAAAGCCCCTGAACATGTCGGGCATGTCCTGCCGATAGTGTGTGCACCGCCACAGCAGTCCCGGGGCTAGGTCCCACTTACACGAATTAAGAGATATTGACCGTAGATATAGCGCAGATCAACGGCCGAAATCTCGTAATCCGTGCAAGTGGGACCTTGCCCCCGAAATGTGCAAAATGAGAATGAACTTCCCACTAGAACATGTGCAAAATGAGAATGAACTTCCCGCTAGAACATGGCCAGATGCACCTTCCATCCAGGTTTTTGTCTTTTTCACATTTCGAGAGTGGTGTGTGTGGCAAGGCCCGCCGTCTATTCCCGGTCATTATCGCCGCATCAGGACTGAAAATGCGACACATACACACCTATAATGACGACCGGGCCGGAATAGAACTCCCGGTCATTGGGCCTCGCTGCACTACTCATGACTTGTGATTTTCTTCACGAGTGCGCCTTGAGTTGTCAGAGGCCCGAAACGACCTAGAGTGCGGTCTTCGCTGCACTTACTCTTGGCATTTCTCCGATTGAGTTACTCTAGAAAGGCGGACACGGACTTCACGAGTAGTGCAGCGACGGCAGCACTGTAGGCATTTCTGGGACTTCGTAGTACCGGGATTTTCCCGGCCCGCGCGCCAACTTTCACCAGGTGCCTCGCCAGCTCCGAGGACGGTCCGCGCGCACGAAATCCCCTCCCCCACGCGCCAGTTTTCCGCCTGATATGAGGCCGACCGTCCGATAGTATTTATCGGGTGCACCACAGCAGAGCGGAGGAGAGCCCCGCGGAGAAGCTTATGGTATATGGGCTCGGGCTCCTGCGGACCAACACTCATCAGCGTGGAAAAAAGCGGAGTGCTCCAGCTACTGGTGCAACCGTGCATAGCCAGCGTCCCTGTCGTCTGGCTGTGAGTGTGTTGCGTGGTCTGCCGTGCGCGGGGCGTCGACGTCCGCAAAGGAGGTGTCTTGGCAGTTGGCCATCAAAGTAGGGAGTGATTTGGGGACAGTAAGGCATGAGACCCGGTGCGCGTGAAGGGGTGGTCACAGCATGGCGGTGAAGGGTTGCTGTGTCCGTGGCTGCAGTTGCAGTGGCCATCATGCACAACGAAGAGGAGACGGAGCACATTGTGAGGGCGATGTTCGCCGCTTATCAATATAGGTGTCTCAATGATTTCGGCAGTCCATTCGGAGTGAGAGGCATGCCAAATTTCGCGGGACTCGTCATAGCCGTAATCATGGCAGCCGGTGTTCTCCCACGAGCATCACCGCGATGGTGGGTTAAGCCAAGGGCAGGTGGGGCATGGAAGAATATGACACGAGTGGATGCTGCTCGGGGAGACTACTTTCATGACAACATCCGCATGGGAGAGGAGGTGTTCAGAAGCATCGTTGCGAACATGCGACCCCACTTGACGAGAATGTGTATGAAGTACCATGCCCCTACTATACCTGAGCAATTGGTTGCGTATGCGTTGTACCGATGGGCGACGGGGGAGTCCTTCCCCTGGCCAAAAGAGAAGCCCTCAGAGCTGTAGGACAATATCAGACGAATGTGAGGTCCCCGGCCTCGAGTGGAACTTCACTTCATAAAAAAAAAAAATAAAGACTAGTAAAGAGTGAAGTTCAGGCAGTCACTCACCCCCCTCAGCCAACCGAAGATCAGAAACTACCATACTTTTCAGAGAGTGAAGAAACAACCTAAAGACTAGTAAAGAGCTATTAATTTTTCTCTTACACAAAACACTTGCAGGGTACCCTGCGGGTCTCGGCGAGACACCGTTTTGGACTTGCAGTTATAATTGAAGTTCAGGGGCAAGACACAGTTTGCACTCGCATAAAATATATATATATATATATATCGTCAAATAGATATATATATCTATATATCGTCAAATAGAATATATATATATATATATCGTCAAATAGATATATATATATATATGGGGTGTGAACCGACAGTCTGTAGAGTTTTCCATCTGGTGTGGGTGAGTGATAGTCTACTTTGATTTTGGTTAAGGTGGATTATCACTTACAGTGTAATCAGTGAGGGG